ACCCATTCTACTTTACTCACCCACAATTATGGTGTCATTTAAAAACGTGAAACTGCTAAGATCTGAAACTCTAAATCTGTCTGACACCACCCTCCTATTCTTCCCTTAAGCTAATTCTTAACCCTTCCTAAACCTACACTTATTTCTTATTGTGACCACAAATCCAAATTGTTCGCTCCTTTTTCAGTTTCTTTCCATCTCCAATCCATTCTACATGAATTTGAGTGTCATAATCCTAAAAAAAATCGGTGTATTTAACAATTATGATCATCCCCTGTTCTAGACCGTTTGTTACGAATTGTCCCCAAAACGGTATGTTGAAGTTCTAACCTCTGGTACCTATAAATGTGCTCTTGTTTGGAAGTAGGATCTTTGAAGATGTTATCGGTTAACATGAGGTCATACTGGAATACAGTGGGTCCTAAGTCTGCGAGTGGTATCCTTATAAAAAGAGCAGAGACAGAAGGAAGAATACCATGTGAATGCAAGTCAAGGAACACCTGGGGCTACCAGAAGCTGGGAGAGACAAGAAAGGATCTTCTTGTAGAGCCTCCAGAGAGAACATGACCCTACTGACACCCTGAATTTGGACTACTAGACTTCAGAACTGTGAGACAATAAATGTCTGTTCTAATAAGTCACCTAGTTTGTAGTACTTTGTTATCACAGTCCTAGGAAACTAATCCAGCCTCCTACAGCTTACTACCCTGCTATTTGTTCTCAAATCAGGCTGAAACATTTGGGGAGCCTTAAAAAAATACGCACGGGCACCACTGACCATTAAGGTGGGAATTGCTTCATATATTATGTAGTTTCCTTGGGGATTTTGTTTTCTGGTTCTATTAGACTTTGACTCATGTGTGACTTTGCTGATTGTCTTCCCTGTTTTTTGCCTTTTCTGGTTAAACATCTCAGTTTTACTCCATAGTATTCATTTTCTCACCTATATTTATTGCCCATAATCTTAGAAAACATTCCAGCTTTGCTTGTCTTGTTTGAGATTCCACGGTCAATATTCAGTTATACAATTTTGTACCAAGCTGGGTAAAAAAAAAGAACCAGAAAACACCCTTTGCCGTCGAGGCGATTACAACTCATAGTGACCCCATAGGACAGAGTAGAATTTCCTGTAGGGTTTCCAAGGCTGTAAATCTTTACGAAAACAGACTGTCACATCTTTCTCCTGTGAAGCCACAGGTGGGTTAGAACCTCTGGCCTTTCGGTTAGCAGCTGAGTTCTTAACCACTTCGCCACAGGGTAGATGAACTATAAACAAGACACACAGGAGAGGTGGGAATACCAGGGGCTTACCTCATGCACTTGGAGTGTGTCATGTCACTTAAGCATCACCATACCCCTGTGAGGTCAGTGTTATTGTCCCATTTCACAGAAGAGAAAACAAAACCAGAGAAAGATTAATCTATCCAAGTTCTATACCTAGTAAATGAGAGACCTGGAACACAGACTTGGATCTCTCCTAACCTCTAAATCCTACGTTCTTCCTGCTACAACTGTCTGATAGTCATTCACACACGGGATTGAGGTTTCAGGAGGAGATGAGATTTGTGCAGGGACCAGCACAATGGAAGGGGTTTGGAAGGGTAACAGGCGGGAATTAGAACATTCTGAAAAATGGGAGGAGGAAAATGAGAAGATGAGGAGAAGCACAGAAGGACAAAGAGGAAGGAGAGGAAGAGAAAGGTACTCAGGCAGAAGTAAGAAAATTATCTGGTTGTAGTAAATGAGTGGAGAGCGAGTAGAAGAGATGCTTAACTAGAAACAAAGGTACAAATATTGGACCAATAGTTCCAAATTTTTATGCATGATCCATATGACATAGAATAATCACATATGAAACACCTTTCTTCTTAAAATTCTTGTCATTTTATCTGTAACTCCAAACCTCTCAAGACAACAAGTGAGAGTGAACTTGAAAAGAGCGCCTTTATTGCACAGGTGGGTCCCTGGGTGGCGGAAGTGATTTGTGATTGGCTGCTAACCTAAAGGTTGGCAATTTGAACCCACCCAGCAGCTCCATGAAAGAAAGGCCTGATTAAACTGCTTCCACAAATACTGCAGCCAAGAAAACCCTATGGAGCAGTTGTACTCTATAACACATAGGGTTGCCGTGAGTCAGATTCAACTTGACAGCAACGAGTTTGGATTTTTGTTTTGTTTTGTTATTTTATTGTGCAGATATCTTAGAATCTTCTCTAATTTCTAACAAAAGAAAAACACACCCCAGCACTGCTGCTAGAAAACAGTGTGTTGGGGAGTAGTCCGAAGGTTGAATAAGCAGGGCAGATCCAGAATATGCAGTTCTGATATCCACAGGAGTCTATACTGGACACATAGGCAATAGAAAGGCACTAAAAAGCCAGTTGTTGCTGAGTCAATTCCAACTCATGGCAAACCTATGTGTGTCAGAGTAGAACTGTGCTCCATAGGGTTTTCAAAGGCTGATTTTCTGGAAGTGGATTAACAGGCCTTTCTTCCAAGGTACCTCTGGGTGGCCTCGAACCTCCAACCTTTCAGTTAGCA